AAAAAAAAAAAAAAAAAAAAAAAAAAAAAAAAAAAAAAGAGCTTCCAGTAAGTCCACTGAAAGAAGTGTTTATATTTACATTTAGGAGAATATTTATTATCAGAAAATCTTACATGCACCCATATGCTCATAGATAATATTCACCAATTATATATGTAGTATGATTAAAATATAGGGTAAGTGTTTAAATTTTAAAATATATTACAGTGAGACATAGTGCCATTAACCCCCCTCAGAATACTGCCCCTCACTTTGGACACCCTTATCCCATTTTTCTTGCCACTTTGTGAAGCAGTTCTGGAGGTCCTCTTTCCCGAGTGATCAAAAACATGGTGAGTGCTGCTACCATGTGCCATCCAACAGAAAGACAGGCTTGTAAAAATACTACAGTGTGTCCTCAACCACCTTATCACCAGATCTGGCACTGTGCGGCTTCTGGCTTCTATTCAAAGTTAATGTTTTGAATTGATCCAGGATATCAAGGTATCCTTGACAGCTAAGTAAAGACACAAAAGAGGACCCCTAGAACTGCTTCAGAAAGTGGCAGAACTGTGGGCAAAGTATGTTCCAAGTGAGGGGGAGAATTTTCAAGGATTAATGGTAATGTGTCTTTTATCATAATTTTTTAAAAAATTTAAATATTCACTGTAGTTTTCGATCATACAACATACTTACATAACATGGGCTAGTGGTGTATATAGTGTAACACAGTCCTCAGAGGCCATACTATGAAAATCACTAGTTATAAGAAGGATTAAATTCAGTAAGTTCTTTTTTATTATTATGTATTTTAATTATTATGAAATACTACCTCATCTTAGAGCAATTTAAAGGATTTTTTGTGTGGAGCAGTGTGGTATTCAACAGAAAGTTGGTTTCCCTTAGACTAAATATGATCCTCAAAGCACCTTCTTATTTACCCAGGGATTCATGAACATTTCCAAATCTCACATTTTCTTCCATAATCTTGGAATAGTATGGAGCTGTTGTGAGTTAAATGAAAACACTTTGTAATAATCAGCCAGTAAACATTAAAACTGTCTCTTCTCTTGGAAAAGAATCTCAGTGCTGATCCGCTGAGAGTCTGCTCGCCAAAGAGGAAGGAACTGCCTCTGTCTAGCAAACGCTGCTGTCCTTCTTTGGTAAAAGATTTTGTTTTCTAATAAAGAGGATGGACCCTTCCTCTTTGCTTTGTTTTCTCCCATTTTTCATTAGTGCACGCAGATTAATGAGTTTCACTCAGGCAGATTTGTACATGCATGCAGCATAGTTTAGTCATTTGTCTCCTGTCACCCCTCTAATTTCACGTTATTTGGGGGGGGCATCAAAATAATGTATTTTGTTCACATTCAAAGCATGTGTGCCAATCTTGGGTGTCTGAGGACCTTCCTTGCTAATCCCTTGATGACAGGTTAAGAATGTTCTGTTGTAATAATTTTTGCTTCATCAAATTTCTTACGAAGATCATTTTTAAAAAGTCAAACTTAGGCCATACTGCAGTTGAAAGAAGAGAAAGTACAGGCCTTTATTTTTACACAGTGTCAGAATGTTGCATCAGAATATAACTCCATAATAAGCAAAGAAGTTGCACAGAAGCTTTGTTATTGACATTTTTCACATATTTACCACAACCTTAAAAAAAGAAACCCAGCAAATATGTACCTCTGATCTAAATGGGCAAATGAAACTAAAATGGCAGTAAACCTACTAAGCTCCCTTACAGAGTGCTAACCACACCATTTTTATGTATTACACTGTTAGGACTTAGGGCAATAGATCAAGAAACAGAATGTTCTAGAAAAGAAACTTTAAAAATTGATAGGCATCGTGTTCTTTTTCCAGAAGACATTTTTTTGTGTTGAATCAAAGGTAGTGTTTTGGCACTGAGCAGCTCCAGGGAGTTGTCCAAGCCGCCTTCCCTTCCCTGAGCTTGGCTGGATCGCCGCGGGCAGCCATCAGCTTGTTTGGATTTCACACTATATTTACTCCTTCCTTTGGGTGCCACCACCGAGCAGTTGAGCTGATTCTGTCCTGCCTTCCTGTGGACAATTTCTGTGTGAGCCCGCGCTGCTCTTTAGTTCACGTAAATCCTGAGAATGAACTGCGTTGGTTAACTGGTACGGAGAAGAGAACGCTAATAGAAAATGGGCCAAGTTTGCATCCTGACCTCGCCGTGCCTTTGCCTCTCTTCTTTCGTGAAATGACAATTAGCCACCTACCCACATAGATTTGAAACCCCAGGTCACACAGAGACAATGCAGATGGAAATATTTGGTGACTGTTACGTATCTGCAAGCTAACTTGACTGCTTCCTAATTGCCATCAAAGGGGACCTCCACAGGATACACTAGGTGTGGACCACTCCTATTTGTATTTGTCATTACCTAAAACTTTACTTTTAATTTGTTTAATTCGAAAGTGAAGCTGCCTCTGATTAACTTTTTATTAAATTGCCTTCGTTTTCTAACTTTCTCCATGTTCTTCATGTCACCTCTGTTCTCCCTAGCAGGCACAGCAGAAACTCAAATCCTAAAGGTCATCCCAAGTGTCTTTCAAGTAACCGTATCCTGTAAATTCTTCCCTTAGTGCCCCTGAAATCCATTCTTTTCTTCTTCATTTTTTTTTGGTTTTTTCTTATTTTAAAGACAAAACAATAGCAAAATAACAAGTACAAAAACAAAACAACCCCAAAACAATAAAAATGATACAGAATTTCAAAACAAGATGATAGGAATTAACAGTGGCTGTTACATTACAAATTGTTATCCTCAGTGAAGTTGCTCAGATTACCAGGTGGAAGAATGCAAGATTGATCAAACCATTAAAGAGAATAAAAAGTAATAAAAAATTATTGAAAGGAACAATGAATGCCTAATTTCTTTGACCAGTTTTGCATGCTTATATCTGGTCATCTGAACAACTAACTTGCAGACAACAATATGCAATATAAGAACCACTGTTGAATTTCTTCGTTCATTTTCCTCCTTTCCTCCTCCCTTCCTTCTTTGCTTCCAGCCTTCCTTCCCTCCTTCCTCTCTTTCTTTCCTCCTCCTCCTCGTTCTCCTCCTCCTTTTTCTATTACTGCCGCTTTTCAAGTCTTGGCCCTACCATCTCCACGTCGGCCTCTGGGAGCTGCCACCCACACTGAGTCTCCCACCTCTTCCCCCATCCGCTTCCGGCGGTCAGATCCATCCTGAGAGGCCACTGTGCTGACTATGGCCATACTGCTCTGCCCCGGCATCTTCAGGAGACTCCCAGTGGATGGAAAATAACATCTACTCTGGGCACAACCTGTCCTTCCGGCCTTGGCCACAGCAGTCCGCTCTCCCTGTGACACTGTCTTCACCCTGGCTTTTTCCTGGGGCTGTGTGCACAGCATTCCCCAGGTTCTTCTTCCCTTCCCAAAACTCACCACCCCAGGAAGTCTTCTTGGTGCCTCACAGCTTACAGTGATCGAATTTTTTGAAGTATTTCCGCTAATTGTAATCAATTCTGAACTAACTTCTGCTTAACATTGTGTGTGTGTGTTGTGTGTGTGTGTGTATGTGTGTGTATGTGTGATAGTCTTCACAAGCAACTAAATTATGGCATGGTTTTTACATTTCACTTGGTGCTTGGTATCCTTATCCATGTTGCTAGTTTTACTTTAAGGCACGACATTTAGCAGTATCAAGTCTGCTGTTCCTACAGCAGTAGCTATCAGCCTTTGGCATGGTAAGGGAACACTGGAAGACAGGTAAAATTCTTTTGGGTCCGACCCTAGAGACAGAAGATCAGAAAGGAGCCCAAATATCTGTTACCAGTGATTCCCATGGGATATTAATGCTGCTGCTGACGCCTTTGAGCGTCTGCACAGCCCTGGCGTATAAATCCAGCCTGTATCATGAACACCGAGTTTGCTCCTCTTTCTTCTGTCCAGCTCACTCTGTGACTTCTTTCTTTCAGATTGACTTTGAAGATGTGATTGCAGAACCGGAAGGCACACACAGTTTTGACGGCATCTGGAAGGCCAGCTTTACCACCTTCACTGTGACGAAATACTGGTTTTACCGCTTGCTCTCCACCCTCTTTGGCATCCCAATGGCACTCATCTGGGGCATTTACTTTGCCATTCTCTCTTTCCTGCACATCTGGGCAGTTGTGCCCTGCATTAAGAGCTTCCTAATTGAGATTCAGTGCATCAGCCGTGTCTATTCCATCTACGTGCACACCTTCTGTGACCCACTCTTTGAAGCTGTTGGCAAAATATTCAGCAGTATCCGCATCAATATGCAGAAAGAAATATAAATGACATTTCCAGGATAGAAGTATTCCTGATTTTTTCCCTTTTAATTTTCTTGGTGCCAATTCTGAGTTTCGAGTTGCTAGTTCAGCAACAGTTCATGAATGATTTATCTTGGTTCAGAACAAAGAAATCACTTTCTCAGTTTTCATAACTATTATTTGTCTCTTCTAAGCTCTTTCATCTATTTTTTGGTGGTCTGAATTTTTTAAAGCCATTCCAGTTTTTTCTTATTTTTTGATTTGCATGTGGATCATTGTTTTACTGGTTGAGATATGAGCATACAGTTGAAAGATCATTTGGGAGAAATATGAAAAACTTAGGAGGAGAAAAAAGAAAACCAGTCACCTCAACTGCCTACTCTAAAATGTTGATCATTCTATAGGAAGTGAAGATTCCAGGCTACAGCCATGGTGGTATAGGTCGGTGGGAAGATTGTAAGCAAACATTTTCCCCACCATCTGAGGTGTTAGTGACCTGCTGTCATTTTCCTTCATAACCCAACAGGATCCAGTGATCCTTCTGAAGTTAGAAAGCATAATCTTCTGCATTTACAATATCCCACTAATGCCTTACTCTTCTTAAAATTTTAACCTATGATATTTCCTGTAGTATTTGTTATATAGGCAATGAGACATAAGTGCCTTCCCGTTTTTCACATGTGCCTTTTCAAACCAGGTCTAACTCATCAACTTTCTTTAAGTGAGTAGCTTCCTCGAAGACCAGAATTAGGACCCCATTACCTAACTCTCTGCACTTGTTTCTGACTCTGAGACGCAGAATCTGGTGAAGCTCACGTCTACGACCCATCATGTAGTATCTTTACCCATGCTGATTATGGTCAACATCAGCCCAATGAAATGAATTAAAGTGCACAAACGGGGCTGACGGGCCGGGCCCTCTCTGGGCTGGCGGGAGTGGAAGCCAACTTTTCCTGCCTCTCAGCGCAATGAGGTCAGCGTGTCTATTCAGCTTCGTTTATTTTCAAGAATGATCAAGCTCTCCTGAATCCGAACTAATCCATCACAGGGGTGGTTCAGTGGCTCGACATTGTGTTCCCTTTCCGGGTGATCCGTGGGCCTCCGGGGAAAGGCTGTCAGAATGAAAGCCATTGTGTGAGGCTGTCAGAGCTGCTGCGAACGTGACCCCTTCCAAGTGGAGCGCTTGCAGCCATCTGTTACGCGGACACTTGGCCCCTCCCACCGCCAGGAGCCTTGGAGCTAATCCCGCCCTCCTTTGCTCAGAGGAATGGGGAGGAGGCGGTAGTAAAATGTTGAAGAATTTTGCTGGAATAAGTTCAAGTTTTTCCGGATTCAAACTGAGGAATTTCACCTGTAAACCTGAGTCTACAGAAAGCTGCGTGGCACATCCAAAAGTTTTTCAGCCCTCTTGCTCGTATTGCGGGTGTGCCCCTGGGAACTTTTTTAACCTCCGGTTATGCTTTTATTTTTATTTTCATACCCTTGCCGGAACTCTGCTTCTTTTTTTGCCTCCTCTGGTTCTCCTGACACTTTACCGACCTGTTACTTACTTTGTTTGCATTTTAAACAGACACTGGTATGGACATAGTTTTACTTCTAAACTGTGTTCATAACCGAAAAGTACACTATACTCCATGCTGTGTAAGTGGAAAGATATTCTTATCTTTATGTTAAAAATCACTTGGGAAATGACTCTGATTCAGTCTGTAAACTGTGTACCCCAAGATATGTCTGTTCTCCCTAGATGCTTAGTTTCTCATGCAAATCAACTGCTGGTCCAAAGATCGCTGAAGTTTTATATGCTTACTGATATATTTTACACTTTTTTATCTGCATGTCCTAAAAAGGTTATAAATCTGCACAATAAAAATGTTTAACAGTTAAGAAGTCTGCTCGTTTTCCCCCAAATAGATAATATATGTGTCAGTAGATGTGTGCCTGTGTGTCTTTTTGTAGTGAGCATGTGTACAGTATGTCTGTATGTACATCTTTGCAGTGTGTTTGAGGTGGGGTGGGGTGGGAAATTGGAAATTTTCTATTTTCCAATTCTTACAAAGTCATTTGTGGGGGGGATCTTCCTCAGAAGGTCATTTCCACTCATGTGTTACTTCAGATAAACTGTAACAAACAACAAAAGTTTTTGGTAGTTTATGTTTTATTATCTATCACCTAAGCCCCCAACAACTTTTGTGATACGTATCAATACCGTCATTTGATTAATGACACAGTTTGTGCCCAAGAAGTAGTGCCTTGGACTTAGCCATGATCTAACTAGTATTTTTAACAGGCATTAATTTATTTTTTGTCCTTGGCTAAGTTTATATTCAGCACTTCTCTATTGGTCAAAATTGTCTTGAGAAATCAAACCCACAGGAAGAAAGAGAGAGAGAGAAAATTAAAAATTGTAAGAGGTTTGTTATGAGGACGTCACAATTCTGGAAGCAGATAAGCTCTAACACCTGCAGAGTGATCCATCACCTGGAGACCCATGGCCAGTTGGATGAAGATCCAGGAGAATGTAGTACATATTTCACTTTAAATGCAATGGCAGGAAAAAAAAGTTATCCCAATTAGCAGGCAGTCAAGCAGAAGGAATTCTGTCTGACTTGTGGGCGGATCGGCCCTTTTGCTTTACTCAGACCTTCAACTGACTGGAAGAATGAAGCTCACCCAAGTCAGGGAGGGCATTCTGCTTTCCTCTACCAATTTAAATGCGAATCTCACCCAAAAACAGCCTCGGCAAAAGACTCAGAATTATGTTGGACCAAATATCTGGACATCTAATGGCCCAGTCAGGTTGACATATAAAATTAATGGTCTCCATCACAGTTTCCAGACCAAATTTTGCAAAGCAGTTCTTCCAGTTTCTCCCACCCTGAAATTCACTTCATGCTACTTACAGAGTTGCTCTCTCTGCTGAGATTCCCAGAAAGCACAAAGGCTGCTTAGATGGTAACTTGGGTTTTTTCCCGCTACTTATCTGCTTCCTGTGTGCACATGGAGAGCACCCGTACTCACGGCAGCATCTGAATCCTGGCTGAAGTTAAACCTCCAGCAAGCAGAATAAGTGAAGTGCCTTTAGACAAAGATTGTCTTCCTTTTGCTTTTAGTATTTGAATCTCTACATGAGTACATATTAACAAAATCAGGGCTTTATTTAAATTTAGTACAGCTACACACGTGAAACAGTTCAATCTCTGAACACACAAATGACTACATACTCGGCTTTGGAGGACTTTGACTCCATATTACCCCGAACCACTCTGTACATCACACGAGGAGTAAACGCCAGTCACACAGTGATGTACGTCGGCCGGTGGGCTGCGGCTTCCCCTCGAGAGCTGACTCACACCCTTCCTAATATGAGTGTTGATACTCAAATATTCTGGCCTTTAAATTACCCATATCTATAAAGTTGAAGGGGGAGGAGAATTAAGACACACTTTACATAACACAAAAGGATGAAACCATAAAAGATCCATTTTATAAATATATTAAAAATGTTACACTTCTATATCTCAAAGAGAGTAGAAACAAACACACATGATAAAAAGTGCTCAAAGAAAGCATTTGTTAGTAGACAGCATTGTGAGGCTGGACGCGCTTGCTGCAAAGCATCAGCTTGTGAGAGCGATATTAATTGGATATTTTCAGCGTAGACAGTTCTCATTTGTACTTTCATCGCTGTCTCTATTGCTGACAGGACTCACAGTTCAAACTCACCTGCCTTCTCTGTGTCAGCGGCACCAGGAACTGCACATTTTGGTGTTGGTTCGACTCCTAGATGTGGGATCTGGGCTCCATGGACTCATAACTGGCTTTGTAAATTACTGGCTGGGTAGCTGGGCAAACTGTGTGACTCCTCTGGGGCTCGGTTTCCAAATCTGTAAAGTTGGGATGATGATGAAGGTGCATACAGTACGAGGGCTGCATATATTAGTAACATATTTGAAATGTGTGGACTGGGCACCCAAAGATTACTACAAGTTTTAACTACTATTACTTAGCCATTGCTGACGTTTAATGTGGCTTCCCCGGGCCACGTTAAAGAAGAGGTGATGTCTTGAGCCGCATATAAAATATATAATATAGCTAACACGTATGAGTACAAAACTTCCTTTACACTGTTACATTTCATTGTAACATTTAAAAGGATGACATAAAAACTAGTGGGATGTTTGATTTTGCTTTTGTGAAATGAATGCATCCGTGTCTGGTTTGATGGAAGTGTTTGTAGTTCTTAGTGAGTTCTCAAGATGCTGGTGAGAAATAGTTCATCTAATTTTACTCTTGCATGCTTCATGCTTGAAAATAGTTGTACAAAGGTACACACCGCCAAGAGTGATGACATGAATAAGGCATGACTCTGAAGCAAGCAGTAATGTTCTCCAGGAAGACAGGTCTCTTAAAGCCTAATAGAGACATGATCAAATTTTTCATTGAGTTGGCTGACTGCAATTCTATACTTTCCAAAAATTAACAATAAGCAACTCTTTCTTTTCTCATATGAATAAGGTTATGTACGTAACTAGAACAATGTGATAAGCAAAAAACCATTTGATGTATTTTTGTACTTTCTATACCACAGCTGCTAAAAAATTTACTTGCATTAACTTATTAAATTATTTTATGAAGTGACACAAGCAACCCCAAGTTTAATAAACTGATAAAACTTCTATGTCTTTCATAACAATAAACACCTGTCTTCACAGGCACACTTAGGTAGAGGTAGAAACTATGATCAGTAATTGCTACACTTTACTCACCAGGGTACATGACCACATGTAACATCTGAGCCATCCAAGTTTTAATTTGACTGTCGGGAGCACGGAGGTAGAGCTAGCGCCACCCTGCACCCTCTGCTGTCACCTACACCATCCAAGCTCAAGCACCAGGAGGCTGAGTCATGAAACAAAATCACTAAAAATTAGACAATAAAGCTAAAAGTTTACTATTTTATGCAGCTGCATTACAAGTGTCCAGGGGTGTAGTTGGACACAGCTGATTTAAAAGTTTAAATTTTTACAGCATCAAAGTTTCATAATAGGGTACATTCTGTCACATAGTTTAGTTACTTTCAAGAATATAAAGTGACTAAGTTCTAAGTAAATGTACAAACTCCAGGACAGATTATTTCAGTGATGGGAAGAAACACGCTTTTTTAAATCAACCATAATATTTACATGTATGTAGTCAACAAATTCTAAATTCCAATAGATTCAGGTTGTGTACAGATAATGGATAGAACCATTTTACCATTGAGATCTGAAACTACTATTTTTTTTTTCTCTAGGAATCTATATTCTTTACTTGACTTCCATATCCACTCTCAAATCTGCCAATTGCATGAACAACAATAAATTTCTCTAGGTGTTATTCATTACCTGATTTACAGGAGCCAACTGTAAATTCTCCTCCTCGTAGGAGGAGCTCTCTCTGCTTATCCCACAATGTACAACAATCTTCATGTGTGTGCTTCCATCTTCCCTTCCGCTAAAATCGATGGTTCCCCTTCCCATTCCCGTTCCCACCAGTTCTGCTCATGTGTGTTCTGTATCTCATCCCTTGTTTTCCCAAGATCTCTGCTTCCCTGGTTAGTTCCTTTCATTCTTTTGCTGACAACCCCTCCATATTTGCTGGGATCACTCCCATTGGTCTACAGATACCAGATATAGCTCTGTCTCATTTAAGCATTTTCCTTCTTTATGGAAAAACATTACCTGTTCCTCGATAGGCAGAACCAATATTGCCAAAATTGCCATATTACAAAAAATTATATATAAATTTAATGCAATTCCAATCAAAATACCAACAGCATTCTTCACAGAACTAGAAAACACAATCTCAAAATTTATACGGAAGCAGAAGAGACCCAGAATAGCCAAAGCCATCCTGAGGAGACACTGCAATCCCAACTTCCACTATACTACAAAGTTACAATAATAAAAGCAGCATCAGAAAATAGACATTATGACAAACGAAATAGAATTGAGGATGCAGAAACAAACCCGTGCATCTTCAGCTGTCTGTTTTTTTACAAAAAGACCAAAAACAAACAAAAAAAAACCCCACATAGCCTTTTTAACAAATGGTGCAGAAAAATCTGGTTATGCATACACAGAATGAAGGTGAACCTATAGCTCTCACCCTGCACTAAAAACAAAAATAGATCAAAGATTTAGATATGAAAACAGAAACAGTGAATCTGCTGGAAGATAAAATTGGTAAAATTCTTGGAAACAGAGGCATAAGCAAGGATCCTGCACAGAATCCCAACTGCATAAGAAATAACACCAACAATCAACAAATGGGATTATATCAAATTAAAAACTTCTGCACAGCAAAGCAAACAACCAACAGAGTGAGTATTTACATGCATGTAAATACTTAACACAATAGGAAAATATGATTGCCACTAGTCCTTGGGAGAGAAGACTAGCCAAAAAGTTAGATTCCCACTCCAAAGTGATAAAAGAACCAATGAAAAATGGCCAATTAAAATGAATAGAGAAAGGCTGGGGATTTAGCTCAGCGGCAAAGCACCTGCCTGGCAAGCACAAGGTCGTGAGTTTGGTTCCTGGTACCGGAGAAAAACCAAAAAAAAAAAAAAAAAAATAGAAATTTCTCAAAGAAAGAAGTATAAATAGCCAATAAATACATTTAAAAAACTGTTCAGCATCTTTGGCCATTAGAAATTAAAACAGCACCAAGACTCCATCTTACTACAGTAGAGGGGATTATCACTAAGGGCTCAGAAAACAAGAACTGCTGGCAGGGATTTGGGGGCAAAGAAATGCTTCTACACTGTTGGTGGGAATGTAAACTGGTACGACCACCATGACAATCAGTGTGGAGATTCCTCAAAAAAATTAAAAATAGAAATT